AAAGTATCCAACTCTCCAACATCTAAAAGGTCTGTTTTTTTTTTTTTTTTTTTTTTTAAGAGCGATGGGCTTTTGTTCTGTCGTCAGGCTGGAGTGCAGTGCTGTGATCGTGGCTCACTGCAGTCTTGACCTCACGGGCTCAAGTGATCTTCCCACCTCGGCCTCCCAAGTAACTGGGACTACAGGCGCCCTACAGGCCTGGCTTAGGGGTCTGTCATTTTGTAAATGGCAGGACAACAAATGACATCCATGTTGTAGTGATTTTCAGAATGTGAGACCAGAAGACAGTGACTACTCACCTCCAGGCACCTGCTCCATAAATATCTTAATGTAGCCATTCTCTGACACAGAGCCCAGGTACTGAACGATATTGCGGTGCTTAAGGTACTTGTGCAGGGCTATCTCCTCATGCAGTGGCTGGGAATACCTATTGGGAAAACAGAGCCAGGGTCACCTGCCAAATCCCAGGGACTCAAGACCCACATCTCACCTCAACAGGACCTGCCCCACTGCTGCCCATCCCTTCTTTCTGGAAACTTGCTCTCCTCTGGCTTCCATGAGACTACTCAACTTCCCATCTGTACAATAGAGGATAAGCCTACAGCCACGCAGGGCTGCCAGGGGCCAAGGCATGTCCATTTCCTTAAGCACTTAGTGGAATAGCTGGTATGTGGTGAGTATTCAATGAATGACTGCTATTGTTACTACTGTTATTGTTAGGGCCTGAACCCACCAACCCTTCCTTACCTCTCTCAACAGCCCCTCTTCCTCTGCCTCCTCCCATGAAGAGTGGTCATCCTCTGCCTCCCATGAAGGGTGGTGTTCTGGAAGGTTCTGTCCTCAGCTGCCCTCTTGTCTTATTCTACAGAGTCACCCCAGACCACAACAGCAGCCACCTAATGGGCCACCCAGCCCTGGTCTCTGGCCTTTTTAATCCATTCCCCACCCTTGGCCATTATACTACCTCTTCTTAAAACATACACTTTACCGCATCCCTTCCCCACATAAATTCCACATAAAGACCAGGCTATTTAATGTCATATACAAGGACTTTCAAAGATCAGTTCAGGCCAAGGCTTTAAAAAAATTTTTTTGGCCTCATTTCAAGAGCATTTCACTGCCCTGTATCCTACATTCAAGTCATATCAGACAATCTGTTGTTCTCTGAATATACTTTGTGTTTTAACAGCTCTGTTTTTCCATCAGCATAGGCCTCCTTTTCCGCTAAACAAATTCTTACTCATCCCTCAAAGTCCAGCTCAAAGTTTATCTATTTTTTCAAACTTGCCACAACTCACTAAGGAGAGTAATTCATTCCTCTTCTGTGTTCTAAAAACACTCTGTGTACTCCTCTATCATGGCACTTGGCACTTTCACTCACAGGCAAAGCATCTGCATTTCCCACCAAACCAGCACCATCCTGGGAAAAGGACACTATCCTAGTCACCTTTCAGTCCCCAGTGCCAGCCCAGAGTCTGACACAGAGAAGGTGCCAATCATCGTAAGTTCAGCCTATAAATTTACGGTGCTGAACAAAACAGTCTCTGAAAGGTCTCTTCTGGCTCTCATAATCCCAGGAACTACTGATCAGCAACAAAAAGCTAGAACAGCTATTGCTACCAAATGAAGGAGATGGGACATGCCAGCATTTTCCCCGAATATATACAACTGCAACACCTTATCCATCATGAGAAAAGAGACTGGATGCTGGATGAGGAACTCAAGAGACTCGGATCCTAGTCTTGTTTCTAAACATCCTTGGGAAAGTCATTTAATCTTCCTCAGTCTTGATTTTCTTATTGGTGAAATGAAGAAATGGAAATAGTTCATTTCAGGTCCTGTCTCATAATTCACGTATCATAACATGCTATCGCACTGAAAATCAACAAATAGATGAATGGATGAATGAAGGGTCTTAGAGCTGGCAGAAATCCCTTGCAACTCATCCCCAATATATCAGCAATCACCCAGATAAAAGGGTATTTACACATATTCGTCAGCACTCAGCACTGAAGGCAACCCTACAGCTGTGGTCTGGCACCCCTGTGGACCCTGGGATGATTAATTCCAACTGTGTGTGTAGCTTCTCTACAGAAACACTTGGCAGTCAACATTGCAATGCTCATTTCGCATTCTGTGGGGGTATACGTTTAAAAAGAAACCTTTTTTTTTTTTTTTTTTTTTTTTTGAGACAGGGTCTCACTCTGTCACCCAGGCTGGAGTGCAGTGGCACAATCTCGGCTCACTGCAACCTCTGCCTCCCGGGTTCAAGCGATTCTTGTGCCTCAGCCTCCCAAGTAGCTGGGACTACAGGCATGCTCCACCATGCCCACCCATGTAAGTTTTGTATTTTTAATAGAGATGGGGTTTCACCATGTTGCCCAGGCTGGTCTCGAACTCTTGACCTAAAGTGATCTACCCGCCTCAGCCTCCCAAAGTGCTGGGATTACGGGCTTGAGCCACAATGCCCGGCTAGAAACAAACATTTCTTCAAACTAAAAAAAGTCAAAGAAATGAATAAGCAGTACTAATGGTAGAAAAACAGTCCAAAATCCATGGGTGAGGGTGAAGGGTAGGATGTTAAAAAAAATTCTGTACTGCAAAAATCTGATTTTTTTTTAACTACATGTAATTTTCCGCAATGATGCATCTGAACAAATCATAGCCATTTTCAACTGCTACAATGTGAATTTAAAATAACCCGGTCACATTTAAAAATTATATTTGCACTCAAAAATTAGACAGGCATGGTGACGTGTGTCTGTAGTCCCAGCTCCTCAGGCAGCTGAGGTGGGAAGATCGCTTGAGCCCAGGAGGCAGAGACTGCAGTGAGCCGAGATCTGCCACTGCACTCCTGCCTGAGTGACAGAGTGAGACTTCATCTCAAAAATGTATATATACTTGCAAACAACTACGCAAAAAATGTAAAACTTTAGACCCAGCTGATGGGTGGCAAAACAACAAACATTTTCTTTTAAAATATGATCCTCTGCAATCCACATGCCTCTGAAGTGAAGTTCTTCCATTTTCTCAATCTATAATACACAAAACAAAAGCAGATCACACCGGGTGCGGTGGCTTACGTCTGTAATCCCAGCACTTTGACAGGCCAAGGCGGGCAGATCACTTGAGGTCAGGAGTTTGAGACCAACCTGACCAACATGATGAAATCCCGTCTCTACTAAAAATACAAAAAAAAAAAAAAAATCAGCTGGGTGTGGTGTAATCCCAGCTACATACAGGTTGAGCCACAAGAATCGCTTGAACCTGGGAGGCGGAGGTTGCAGTGAGCCGAGATCATGCCCCTGTACTCCAGCCTGGGCAAGAGAGTGAGACTCCATTTCAAAAAAAAAAAAAGGCAGATCATCCCTATTACAAAAGAATGACAGGTTTTGTGATAACATAATGCTTTCGTCCTTAACTCCTCCACACCATCAGCAGTGGGTATGGGATCTGGGGTGTGGAGATGGCACCCAAAATGTGGAAGGCCCGCCTGGACTTGCCTGCTATCTCTCTCCGGAATTTCTTTGATGGCTATTCGCACTTGATTGCTCAGATCTCGGCCAGCATACACAATCCCATACGTGCCTTTCCCCAAGACAACTCTCTCACCATTTGCATCATGGTCATACTCATACTGAAGAAGGAAAAACAAAAGGACAAAAAAGCATACAACTTGTAGCGGAGAAGCCCTCTAAGGCCCCAGAGTTGTCTAGCAACTAAAAAAATATAAATAACATTATTTGAGTGCCAGGCAAGTCACAATCTTAGCTTAGGCCCTTTTCATTAAATGACTTGAAAGGGGTAGAATTCCCCATTGTTCACGTGTTGATAGTACGACTTTATGAAATGGAATCCAAGAAAATTAAAAATATGGTTCGCACATAACTGGCTCACCTTTTGGAAATTCCTCCCCATTTTAATGCTGCAATTTAAAACTGCTTCTAAGCATGTTGAATACCCCGACTAGGTGTCTTCCTGCATAATCCCTTATCAACTTGTCAGGAAACAAATATCTTTCAATAGCCCAGAAAGGAAGTGAAGGTAAATATAATTAACATTATCTTAATAAAAAAGGAAATATGCTGGGGCTTCCCCACTCTTTCAGGCATACGGATCTAGTAGTAAACACCTCGTACAAAAATTTGATTTACAATTAGCATTACTATTTTGTTCCCCCATCTTCCCATCAAAAGCTGTCACATACAGATGCATTTGATTCTTCTCGATGAATAAAACAAAAGTGACTGTAGGCTGAGCAACACTTATTTAAAGCAGAGAGGCAGCAATCAATTCTTTCTGTTATTAGGCATGATCCACTGCGTCTACTTACAGAAGTGCAACTTACACACGGAATAGCTGGGGGTATGTGGGTGTCCTTTCCCATCTACTTCTAGGGATGCTCATGACAATTAAGATTACTAAAGGGTTGGCCAGACATGGTGGCTCACGCCTGTAATCCTAACACTTTGGGAGGCCAAGGCAGGAGGATCACCTGAGGTCAGGAGTTCGAGACCAGCCTGGCCACCATGGCGAAACCCCATCTCTACTAAAAATACAAAAATTAGGCCAGGCGTGGTTGTTCATGCCTGTAATCCCAGCACTTTGGGAGGCGGAGGCGAGTAGATCATCTGAGGTCAGGAGTTCGAGGCCAGCCCAGCCAACATGGTGAAACCCCATTTCTACTAAAAATACAAAAAGTTAGCCAGGCGTGGTGGCACATGCCTGTGGTCCCAGCTACTCAGGAGGTTGAGGCAGGAAAATTGCTTGAACCTGGGAGGTGGAGATTGCAGTGAGCCAAGATCACGCCACTGTACTCCAGCCTGGGCAATAGAGCAAGACTCTATCTCTAAACAAATAAATAAAATACAAAAATTAGCCAGGCATGGTAGCACATGCCTGTAGTCCCAGCTACATGGGAGGCCGAGGTAGGAGAATCGCTTGAACCCAGGAGGCGGAGGTTGCAGTGAGGCGAGATTGCGCCACTACACTCCACTCCAGCCTGGGCGACAGAATGAGACTCTGTCTCCAATAAAAAAGATTACTAAAGGATCTCCATCAGTGTCTGATGTAACTAGCAATCAGCCTGCTCCATAGAAGACTTTTACCTCACACCTCCCTCTGTTTCCCATACCTGCTGCCCTCAAAGCACCATTGCTTAGTTCATTTCTACAACAAACTCTGGTCCTGACCTAAGAATTCTAGAAGTTAACTCAATTATTAAAATGAATCCTTTTGATATTTTCTGAAAGAAACCTTAAGGAAATCCTTTCAGTCTAACCTGAGAGTACAGAAAATCTCATTAAATTGTAATCACTGGAAGAACCTGAGTGGCACATCTGAATAACTGTGCAAGATTTAAACACATGTACAATGATTTAGTAACTGTGGACTGTATCGGTGCTGTCCAAAAGAGCTTATGATGAGCCTACTTTTTAAAATGATTTTAAAGTTGTATTTAATATACTACATGCACATAGCTATAACTGAAGTCATTTTAAGCATAAATAAAAAAGTCTGCTTCCAGGGGCCAACTAATTCTCTTGTAGTCTCATAAGCATGACTAATTAGCTTAGAGAAAACTTTCATAGGTTGTACACAAAAGGCAATTTTAGTCTAGTCCATGGCCATATTTTTCTTAAGCATTCTGAGAGAATCCCAAAGTAATGAGATTCTTCTACAGAGACACATTAAACATGATCTCTGGGAGCCATGCAGTGATGACTGGCAGGTTCATAAAACATACTCAACAGAGGACTTTTACAGAAAGATGGGACATTTTCTTGAAGCATCAAACACAATCAATAATGTTTTCCATATTCTAGGTCGTCCATGACTCACCTCCAAGGTGTCTCCATCAGTCTCTCCCTCCAGCTCCACTGTACTGCCTGCTGTATTGGTTATCATCTCTTTGACCAAAGAGAAAAATCTAGAACAGCAAATGTCACAAATATGTTGCCAATTCAGAATTGCTCTCGTTCCTTGTTTTTAACTTAGCTTTATTAAACTGTACTTAAATATAAACCAAACTTTTACAAGTCATGGAACAATCGATCCCCTCCTTGATTTGACATGGTACTTTAGTGGTTATCAAATGTAGGGCAACTACCAATGTGATACCTGAATCCCCTCTATACAGTATCTCCACCAACTGGTTGGCCAACTGATGCTTGAGTAGCTCCAGCAACAGAAAACTCATTACCTCCCAAAGACAGCTCATTCTTGGAAGATCTTAATGAGAAATGTTTCCCTTTTATTGAACCAAAGACTTCTTTTATGTGGGTTCCATCCGTAGTTTGCTTACAATTAACCACTTTTCTACATGACACCCCATTAGAAATGCACATAATTTTACCATGTCCCTATAAGTCTTTCCTTTCTGTCCCATCACTGTTTTCCCCAGGACTTGCAAGTTACTCCACTAGCAGGTAATTCTTCAGATGACGTCCCTGTGTTATTATTATTATTTTTTTTTAAAGACAGGGTCTCACTCCGTCACCCAGGCTGGAGTACAGTGATGTGATCATGGCTCACTGCAGCCTCAGCCTCCTGAGCTCAAGCAATCCTCCCACCTCAGCCTCTCAAGCAGCTGAGACTACAGGCACCCATCACCAAGCCTGGCTAATTTTTGTACTTTTTGTACACAGGGTCTCATTATGTTGCCTAGGTTGGTCTCGAACTCCTGGACTCAAATGGTCCTCCCACCTCAGCCTCCCAATGTGTTGGGAGGCATGAGCCACCATACCCAGCCTCCTGTATTATTCTTGAAGTCTAGCCTCAAGACCAGTGTTCAGAGGGGATCTAATCAATGCTAAGGATAGTGGGACCATCACCTCTCAAAGTATAGACAATCTAGTTCTCAGTAAGATACAGGGTGTTGCATAAGGGGAATGGCGAGAAGGAAACGCATAAGGTGGCCACATCATTCTGTTGACATAGAATAAGCTTAATGTTGACCCATAAATCCTTCTCACAAATTCTGCTGGGCCACATGGGCCACTTCCTAGACTTGTGCAGTTGTTTATTTGGATACAAGTCATCTTGACTCATTAGAACATTTTTACTTACAATTCTATCTTAAGATGTCAAGGAGGAATACTGTACATTTCAGGATAATTTCCATAAACCATTAAAATGCTCTTTTTTCTAACTAACCCATCTCACCTTTTCTTCTTCTAATCTTCGAAAGCTGGGAAACCCAACAGTCAGGCTTCTTAAGAGATATATGGTATGCACTCACAGAAGAACTAAGATTTAAAAGACGGTATCAGCTGGGTGTGGTGGCTCATGCCTGTAATCTCAGCATCCTGGGAGACTGAAGCGGGAAGATCTCTTGAGCCCAGGAGTTCGAGACCAACTTGGGCAATGTGGCTGAAACCTCGTTTCTACAATTTTTTTTTTTTTTTTAATTAGCCAGGCATGGTGGCACACACCTGTAGTCCCAGCTACTCGGGAGGCTGAGATAGGAAGATTGCTTGAGCCCAGGAGGCAGAGGTTGCAGTGGGCCAAGACTGCGCCACTGCACTCCAGCTGGGCAACAGAGCAAGACTCTGTCTCAACAGAATAAAATAAAAGATATCAACTGTTCTTTTTTTTTTTTTTTGAGACAGAGTCTCGCCCTGTCACCCAGGCTGGAGTGCAGTGGCCGGATCTCAGCTCACTGCAAGCTCCGCCTCCTGGGTTTATACCATTCTCCTGCCTCAGCCTCCCAAGTAGCTGAGACTATAGGCGCCCACCACCTCGCCTGGCTAGTTTTTTGTATTTTTCAGTAGAGACGGGGTTTCACCGTGTTAGCCAGGATGGTCTCGATCTCCTGACCTCGTGATCCGCCCGTCTTGGCCTCCCAAAGTGCTGGGATTACAGGCTTGAGCCACCGCGCCCGGCCGATAACAACTGTTCTTAAGAATATGGAACAACTGGGACTCTCATACATTGCTAGTGGGAGTGTAAATTAACACGACCACTTTGGAAAACTCTTGGCAGTATCAACAACCGAAGCTGAAGATAAACCTACCCTATAATCCAATAATCCACTCCCAGGCATATACTCCATAGAAATCAACATATATGTTCACCAAAAGGCATATATAAGAACGTTCATAGTCATTTTCTTCATAATAGCCCCCAAACAGAAACAATCCAAGTCTTCATTAATAGAAGAACAGATAAATTGGAACACAATGGAATGCTACACAGAGAAATAACTGATACACACTTCACAGTTGGATCTCATTTTGTTTTTTGTTTTTGAGATGGGGTATCACTCCGTCACCCAGCCTGGAGTGTGGTGACGTGATCATGGTTCACTGCAGTCTCGACCTCACAGGCTCAAGCAATCCTCCCACCTCATCCTCCTAAGTAGCTGGGACTAGAGGGCACACCACCATGCCCAGCTAATTTTTTTATTTTTTGTAGAGACGAGGGTCTCTCTATGTTGCCCAGGCTGGTCTTGAACTCCTGGGATCAAGCGATCCTCCCACCTTGGCCTCCCAAAGTGCTGGGATTACAGGTGTGGGCCACCGTGCCCAGCTATGAATATTATTTTAAGGGAAAGAGGTGAGAAACAAGGGTACAAACTACATGATTCTGTTTATTTGTAGGTCAAGAACAGGTGAAACTAACCGTTGGCGGTAAAAATCAAAATAGTTAACACTGGGGGGAGTTTAATGACTGTGAAGGGGCACAAAGCAACTTCTGGGGTGCTGATCTGGGAGGCGGGTACAAGAATGCAGACACATACAAAAATTTATCAAGTGTACATATTAAGCTGTACACTTAAGTGTACATTACAAACTTTACTTGTTTGTATGTTATACATCAATAAAAAAATTAAAATGTATTGCAAAAAAGGCACTGAGTACTGAATGAGGGTCAAAAGGGCACATTCTGTAGTAGCAAAAGGATGTTCTGCTTAATATTAGGTTTTTAATGGCAAAAACTGCAATTATTTTTACACCAATTTATATCTGGCAACATTTTTTCTACTGTAAATTGAAGGTTATGACCCAATGATTCCCTAGTCTGCTATTTATTCTATTGTGTTTTTGTTTTTGTTTTTGTTTTGACAGAGTCTTGCTCTGTTGCCCATGCTGGAGTGCAGTGGCTTGATCACTGCTCACCGCAGCCTCAACTTCCCAGGCTCAAGTGATCCTCCCACTTCTGCCTCCTGAGTAGCTGGGATTACAGGCGTATGTCACCATGCTGAGCTAATTTTTTTTTTTTTTTCCGTACTTTTTGCAGAGATGGGGTTTCACCATGTTGCCCAGGCTGGTCTCAAACTGCCCACTCAAGCAATCCTCCTTCCTCAGCCTCCCAAAGCACTAGGATTACAGGCATCAGCCACCACACCCAGCCTAGCCTAATCTTTAAATATGTTGTGACAATGATTGTCTGAGACACAATGAATTAAGATTTTCTCAAATTACATGATACAAATAAACTATGAATAAAGGGAACTTCCTCAATCTGATAAAGGTTATCTACGAAAAATCTGCTGCTACCATCATACTTAACGATGAAAGACTAACTTCTTTCTTCTGAAAAACAGGAACAAAATAAAGATGTCCACTCTCACCACTTGTATTCCACATTGTGCTGGAGAGTCTAGCTAGGATAATTAGGCAAGGAAAATAAAGGCATCTAGGCTGGAAAGGAAAAACTAAAACTGTATCTGCAGATGACATGATATTATATACAGAAAACCCTAAGGAGTTCACTAAAGCCCATTAGAACTAACACATGAGTTCAGCAAGGTTGTAAGTTATAAAATCAACATTTACAAATCAAGTGTATTTCTATACATTATCAGTGAACAATCCAAAAGTGAAATTAAAAAAACAACTCCAGTATCAAAATAATAAAATCCTTAGGTACGTATTTAATGAAAGAAGTACAAAATGTATACACTGAAACTACAAAAATATTGTTGAAAGAAATTCAAGAAAACCTAAGTAAATACAAATCCATCCTGTGTTCATGGATCGGAAGCCAGGATGGTTAATACGGCAACGCTTTCCAAATTGTCTAGATATCCAATGTATTTCCTGTCAAAGTCCTAGCTACCCTTTTTTCTACAGAAATTGATAAGCTGATCCTAATATTCACATGGAAATGCAAGCATCCACAATAACCAAATCAATCTTGAAAAACAAGAACGAAGTTGGAGGGCTCACATTTCCTGATTTTACAACTTACTACAAAGCTACAGTGATAGAGAAAGCATGGCGCTTGCGTTAAGAATAGACATACAAAACAATGGAATGGAATTGAGAGTCCAGAAATAAACTACATTTGTGGTCAACTGATTTCCTAAAAGAGTACCCAGATCATTAAATCAGGGAAAGAATAGTCCATTCAACAAATGGTGCTGGGACAACCACATATCCACACGTTAAAGAATAAAGTTGGAACCCCTACCTTACACCATGTCCAAAAATGAATTCAAAATGGGTCAAAAACCTAAACATGAAAGCTAAAACTATAAAACTCTTGGAAGAAAACATAAAAACCATAGGACACCTCAGGTTAGACAAAGCTTCTAAGACAGGAGCCAAAAGCACAAATGACAAAAGAAATAAATAGGTAACTAGTACTTCGTCCAAATTAAAAACTTTTGTGCTGCAAGTAATACCATCAAGAGAGTGAAAAGACGACTTACAGGATGGGAAAAGCATTTGCAAATCACATCTGATAAGGAACTTGCATGGAGAAAAAAATACATTTTATATACATGTATATATCACTCTTAAAATCAATAATAAAAGGATAAATAACCCAATTACAAGTGGGCAAAGTTTGGAGATAGCTGGCAAACACCACTTTCACCAGATGATCCAAGTTAACATCACCAATAATGACAGACAGATATTGCATCCCTTGTTATGAGGCACTGAGAAGGACACATCATTTCTGTGATATTCCTGCCAAATACATAACATCAGTGTACTCGTGAGGAAACGATAAACAAATCCAAGTCAAAGGACTACCCAAAATAAACTGTCTGTACTCTTGGAAAGTATTAAGTCAAAAAAGACAAAGAAAGACAGATGATGAACTCTTCCAGGTGAAAGGAGACTATGTGGACATGACAACTAAACGCAACATATGATCCTGGATTGGAACGTGGACCAAAGAAAAACCTTTTGTTTTGCTATAAAAGACATAATTGGGACACTAAGTAATATTTGGATAAATGTTGTAGATTATAGTACTATATATCTTAATTTCCTCATTAGATAACTGTCCTGTAATTACGTGAGTATCCTTGCTTTTACAAAATACACTCAAGTATTTACAGGTAATGGAGCATTATGTCTACAACTTACTTTTAAACAGTTCAGAAAGAATAACCATATGCACAGAGAGAGAATGTAAAACCAATGTGGCAAAGGGTTAATCCTGAGAAATTCTGTGTAAGACATATATGGAAATTCTTTGTATTGTTTTTTGAAACTTTCCTATGGCTCTGAATATTTTCAAAAATAAAAAGTTTAATTTTTTTAATTGGGCAAAGAATTTGAATAGACATTTCTCCAGAGGTATGTAAATGGTCAATAAGCACATGAAATGATGCTCAGTATCATTAGTCATCAGGAAAATGCAAATCAAAACCACAATGAGATTCCACCTCACATCCACTAGGATTATGATACTCAAAAGACAGATAATAACGAGTGTTGGTAAGGACGTGGAGAAATTGGAAGCTGCATACATTGCTAATGGGAATATAAAATGGGGAAATGGTCTGGGAGTTCCTCAAAAGGTTAAATGTAGAGTTACCATAAGACTCAGCAATTTGACTCCAAGAGAAATAAAAACATGCCCTCACAAATACTTGCACATGATGCTCAGGGAAGTATAATTCATAATTGTCAAAAAGTACAAACAACCCAGATGCCTACTGGCTGACAGATAAACTGTGGTATAGCCATACAAAAGAATATCATTCAGCCACAAAAAGAAATGAAGTACTGATACGTGTCACACATGGATAAACCTTAAAGAAAATTACGCTAAGTGAAGGAAGCCAGTCACAAGAGACCACATACTGTATGATTCCATTTATATGAAATGGCCAGAATAGACAGAGCCATAGAGACACAGAGATTAATGGTTGCCTAGGGCTGGGGCCAGGATAGGGTGAGGCTGAGGAAATGAGGAGTGACTCTATGGATACTGGGTTTCTTGTGGGGTTGATGAAAATATTCTAAAACTAGATTATGGTGTTGATTGGAAAACTATGACTATACTAAAAAACGCTGAATGTTATGTTATTTAGTTTTTTAAATGGAGTTTCACTCTTGTTCCCCAGGCTGGGGTGCAATGGCACAATCTCGGCTCACTGCAACCTCTGCTTCCTGGGTTCAAGTGATTCTCCTGCCTCAGCCTCTCAAGTAGCTGGGATTACCGGCATGAGCCACCACATCCGGCTAATTTTGTATTTTTAGTAGAGACAGGGTTTCACCATGTTGGTCAGGCTGGTCTCCAACTCCTAACCTCAGGTGATCCACCCTCCTCAGCCTCCCAAAGTGCTGAGATTTACAGGCGTGAGCCACTGCGCCTGTCCAAGTTGTATATTTTAAATGGCTGAATTGCCTGCTATGTGAATTATAGAAAATTTTAGAGCTTTTTTGAGATGTAAGTTAACATTTCAAGAAAGACAGTAATAGCAAGTAAATATCTTTCAGAACAAAGGCCCTTTAAAAATGATTCGCCATAATTAGATTGCAAATACCTGAATCAGCTGTAACTCACCTACTGCACTGCTCTTCGGTGGAAAAGTAGATTTGAAAGTCATCAGAATTATCATGGACATAAAGAAAACAACACCGTTCATCAAACTTTGATAGACTGTAAAATTTCAAAGTATAATGTTTATACATAAGTTATGATACCCATTCTAAATCTGTGAGACAATCTTTTCTATTTTATCAATTTCTGAAAGATTCATTAATGTTTTAACAAACACCCCCTAAGTGTGCCTTTTATTTCTCTATGAAATTTAAATACCAGAGACATTTATCTTGCTTATATTTGAGTTGGTATTTATCAATTGACCTTAGTATAAACTTACTCTTAATATAATTCAGTGCTAAGCAAAGCATACGGGCAACAGAAAAGGGAGCAAAATATGGTTCTCTGTCCTCAAGGGGCTTATAATCTCATGAAAAAGAAAGTCAAGGTATTTGTGAAATAATTTATTGTGGTATTAAGGGAATTTCTAGATTCAGAAAATATCAGGATACAGTATTTGTGACCACACAAGGAAAATGGAAATAAATATGGCATTGTAGCTCAAGAAAGGCCTTTAAATGTTTGTTATCTGGTCCATCTCCACCCAGTGTCTGTACCTGACTCTACAGCTCATCCAACAAGCAATATTCAGCTTGCCTGGACACAGCCAGTGACAGGAAAACTGCTAGTAGATTGTATGTTAGAGAGTTCTTCACCCACACTGGGCCAAAGCCTCTGCAGTGGCCTTCATGCCAGGAGGTATTATGGAGAGGAAGACTATATTCTCTTCTATAATTGTCCCTTCAAAAACTGAAGCCACTTTATCTCATCCTTTCTAAGTTATCTCTTCCTGAGATCCAAACTGTCCTAGACCATTCTTTATGTTATAGATTGCATGACAAATACTGGGTTGGAACACCAAGAGTACAGGGGAGATTCAAGAAGAATTAGATTATAAGTGAGCAGGTTTTGAAAATCAATCTGTAAAGCAACTACCACAGTTAGTTGGAGAGCCTCTGGAATGCTCAAAGTATACTCTTCAGGTCACATCAGTCCCGGGGAGGGGTGGGACGAGGCTGATACGCCCTCAGACCCTTTGTAAATTCCCACTGATGGCTGAAATGGCACCTAGAGGTATCTCTATGAGGAGGCACAAACAGAAGGTCCTTGACTACTTCCTCTAACACAATTACTAAGTAATACACTTTGGAAAATCTTTGCCAGGCACAGTGGCTCACGCCTGTAATCCTAGCATTTTGGGAGGCTGAGGTGGGTGGATCACTTGAGGTCAGGAGTTCGAGACCAGCCTGACTAACATGGCAAAACCCTGACTCTACAAAAAATACAAAAATCAACCAGGCATTGTGCCACACGCCTGTAGTCCCAGCTACTCTGGAGGCTGAGGCAGGAGAATCGCTTGAACCCGGGAGGCAGAGGTTGCAGTGAGCCGAGATCATGCCACTGTACTCCAGCCTGGGTGACAGAGCAAGACTCTATCTGAAAAAAAAAAAAAAAAAAATCATCTACTAGCAGATTTTCTGTCACTAGCTATGTCCAGGCAAGCTGAATATTGCTTGTTGGATGAGCTGTAGAGTCAGGTACAGACGAGGACAGAGACCATATTTTATTCCCTTTTCTGCTGCTTTGTGTATGCTTTGCTTAGTGTATTTCAAATTGCCTTGTATTTCCTGGGCAGTATCACCCCAACGCACTACTTTGTACTTAAATTATTTCCCTCCTTTGAAGTGATACTGACGGTACTCTAATTTCAATACTGATGTTTCCAGGACAGGATCACACTGTGTCTGGAAATAACTGGGGATTCATTCAGTGGCTGAGGTAGCCTCAGAATCAGAGAAAGGAATGTTCTAGTCCAAGCCCTTTATTTGAAGAAAATACTTAGAGCAGCTGAGTGACTTTCCTAACATCACACAGCAAAGAGAGATTAGAACTCACATCTACTTCAGAGCCAGTCTCACCCTCGAATGAACTGCCAGGGTGACAAGTGCAGCTGAGATGTTTAGCCCTGCTCGGGTGAGGCCACACAGCTCAGGCCCAAATGGTTACCACTCCTGATCCAAAATGCCAAGAGCTACGCCTCTCCCCAGAATACACCACCTCATGCCCTCCCTGAAAAAAATCTCCCGGCTCCATTACTCTGTCCACAAGATCCCAACCCAAGTGTCGCTACTAGTCATCTCCTGGCTTCAGTTCTCAGAGTCACTGAGCACTTGAACATCTTTGGCTCAAAAAAGATACATCTTCTCTTCCTACAGATCACTTCTTTTAAAAAAAAAATGACACAAGTGAGTTTAGTCTGCTGAGTATGAGCAAAGCTACTCTATTATAACAATCCAAGAAGTTCTTACCAGGAGTACACTAGTATTAATAACTAGCTCAGGCAGGACAACAAAACAGAAGAGGACATTTTGGATTCCATTAAAAATAACAACATTCCATATTATGAATAAGTGGAAACATTAAAGTGTATAAAACAGTATCATCATTTGCATTAAAACAGTAACTCCATTTTCTCCTATGTTCTTACCTTATTCCCTTTATGGAAGAGGCTGTAAAATTCCATTCGTGCATTTGTTTCTGCAAGTTATCAAAGACAGAAGTCAATAGTTTGAGTTTTTTTTAAGCAAAAGATTTTTTTGTTTGTTTCATTCTATGGTCAATCATTTCTGCTATTTTACCTGCCAGTAGTGATTTTTTTTTTACAGGTTAGAGCAATAAACCTTGTATAACTTGGAACACCAGAAACATTTTCCTATGTATTATAAAAATTCGTTTGTATCTCTAATCCAGTTTAAATGATGTAAATTTGAAATAATCTAAGTTTCAGATAGAAATAATAAGCATAGAATAAACACACAGTGAGAGGCTTTTCCTCTTCTGTCAATATAGTAGGCAAACTCTAAAACAAGCATGAGAACAGCCCACCTACGTTGAATGACTTGCAAAAATACTGGGAGAGGCAAGACTGTGGCAGATACCTTTCAGCACTCATCAGTCTTCCTCTTCTCCCTGAACAGAAAGCTGAACTACATTTCCCAGCCTCCCTTGCAGCTAAAGAGATATACAGTGGAGTTTTGACCAATGGGATGTGAGCAGGAATGCCGTGCATCGCCTGCAGGCATGACTCATAAACTCCACAGCAACCCTCTATTTCCTCTTTCCCCATACAGTGCAAGATGGAATGCCCCCCAAATGCCACCCTCTACAACCTGGATATGATATGAGGCATAGATAAACTTTTATCATGTTAAGATATTGAGATTTGGAGGCTGTTTGTTTTAGAAGCTAGCCTACCATGACTAATAGAAAAACTAACGGGGGTTTCAAGCAGCACCAAGTTGCACTTACAAACAAAAACTAACTTGGTCCCCTCCCTTCACTACCATTACACTTTGCACAAAGCTAAGCCTGAGAAGGAACATCTGAAACTCCAGTTTTGGAAAATCCATAGGCAACAACATCAATACATCGCCAACTGCAGAAAATAATTTTAAGTAGGAAAATCCATTTGGGCCAGGTGTGGTGGCTTACACCTGTAATTCCAGTACTCCAGGAGGCCAAGGTGCCGAGTTGGGGGGAGTGGTCACTTGAGGTCAGGAGTTTGAGACCAGCCTGGCCAACATGGTGAAACACCGTCTCTACTAAAAATACAAAAATGAGCTGGGCATGGTGGCACACGCCTATAGTCCCAGATACTCAGGAGGCTGAGGTGGGAGAATCAGTTGAACCCAGGAGGTGGAGGTTGCAGTGAGCCAAAATCACTCCGCTGCACTCCAGCCTAGGCTGGAGTGGACACAGTGAGATCCTGTCTCAAAAAAAAAAAAAAAAAAAAAAATCCATTTGGTTGGCCTGAGGAATGTCACAAGTGACCAACTAAGCCACCCAGAGAAGAAAAGTATGAGAACCACGTGACTGAACACAGCAATGACAACAGGAACAGACGGGGAAGATGGTTCCCGAAGGGAGAAGTTTTAGTTATGTGTTGATCAAGCACCTACCATGTATGTGCTAGGCAAAGTACTAATACTGAAGACACAGCAGAGAACCACAAAATTCCTGCCCTCATGGGCCCTACATGTGAGTGAAGAGAGATGGACAATAGATTAAATAGTAAAATCATAGCATGGGGGGGCGGTGAAAAGTGTTATGAAGACAAACAAAAGCAGGGAAGGGCATTCAGATAGGGCAGGGGGTCACGTTATTCAACAGGATGTTCACGGAAGGCGTCGCTGATGACTTCTGAACAGAAAGCTAAAGCAGGGGAAGGAGGAAGCCACGCGGATGCCTGGGGGAAGACTTCTAGGCAGAGGGAACAGCAAGTGCAAAGGCCCTGAGGCAGGGGTGCGCCTGGCACATTCAGGGACCAACAAACAGGCAAATATGGCTACAGTGGAGTGACTGGGGTGGGAGTGGAAGAAGAGGGTGGAGAGCTCATGGGAAAATCATGCAGGACCTCTAGGCCACCCTCGGGACATCAGCTTTGACTCTGCATGAGACAGGAAGCCACTGGAGGCTTCTCATAAGAGGGTATGAGACTATGAAAGTCAGCAAATCACATCCAACTGCATAGAAAGGCTAAGTGTATTTCAGAGGAGACATGAGTCCAAAATCATGCAGAGAGGATAGTGGCAGACAGCAGGAGTCTGCCTTTGGATTCAGACACAGAAATGGGAGCCAGGGCAGACTCGAGAGAGTCTTGTCTGACCCACAGCCACCTGCAGGAGACTGCACATATACAGAAAGCTTAGCCCATGAGTTTCCAAAGTCTTTCCCGATGGCAGGTCTATTCCAGGATGGCTTTAGAGAACTTGATTTGGGAGGAACATTTACTAGTTAACAACACATTTTATGTCATAATCAACAGGCATTTGTTCAGGAGTGGGTAACTATTCCGTAGCTCCTACAGCTACAAACATATAGAAGTAATGTATGGGCATTCTTAGGATGGTCTTCTGTGCATGATACAGGCAGTTGGTAGCCTAGAGACACTCCGTGCAAGGAACGAAGGGGCGGTTAAAGATGGCTTTGCAAAAGCTAGGACTTGGATAATCGGAAGAAGGAAATCCCAAAAGGAACAAGGATGGAAATAAAAGGGTAGACAGGAGCTCCAGCAGGGACAGTTCAGGGGCTGGTAAGAAGACAGCCTGACTGGCACTGAGGGCTGGAGAGAAAGAGGAAGGGAGGGGGCAGGATTGTATACAGAGGGACTTGAACACTCAGTAAAAGAGTCTGAGTTTTATCTAGAAAGCCACAGGATCCAGTAATGGTTGAGATTCATCAAGAAAGCCAGTCTAAGTGCTTCTAAAAATATATTACTATTTTATTTTTCTAGAGACAGGGTCTCACTGTTGCCCAGGCTGGAGTGCAGTGGTGCAATCATAGCTCACTGTGGCCTCGGCCTCCCAGGTTCAAGCGATCCTCCCACTTCAGCCTCCCAAGCAGTTGGGAGATGTGCACCACTATGACCGGCTAGTTTTTTAAATTTATTTTTTCTAGAGATGGGGTTTTGCTGTGTCGCCCAGGCTGGTCTTGAACTCCTGGGCTCAAGCAATCCACCTGCCTTGGCCTCCCAAAGTGTTGGGACTATAGGTGTGAACCAACACACCAGCCTGTATCCTCTACCCACTTCCCTATGGTTTAACTATATAAAAAAAACTAACCAACTTGTATTTAATGTTTTTTATACACACACACACACACACACACACACACACACACATTCCTCCCCCCCCACCTCACCACATGCCCACACACACACATATGCATACACACACACATAATGGAAAAATCTGCTTTCTCTCATCTGTGATCATACTCTCTCATATATTCTCAAAATTCAGAAGTTAAACACGGGTGCCTATTCCTTCAAATACTACCATTTAGACTTCCCTATTTGAAAATTTAATCTTTGATTCAATTGCTTGTGAGTTTTCCTCCTTACCATTTCTGTGGGTGAGACATGCCATAAAGAAACCGTTCTCTCCTCGGCTTCATTGTTTATGGAAACGTAAGAAGGCTGGTACACTTTGGTTGGCTCTATCACCAGAACCTGAAACAAGAAGAGATGCCTGTTAATGTACACGGGTAGGAAACACAGCGCGCCACAGCGCACCCTGCCCAGCGAGGAGGCGGGGAGGTCCGTACTCAATAAATCCTCACTGAGGGCCAGGCACAGTGGCTCAAGCCTGTAATCCCAGCACTTTGGGAGGTTGAGGTCGGAGGATCACTTGAGCCCAGGAGTTCAAGGGCAACATATTGAGATGCCATCTCTTTGGAGGTGGGGGGAAAGATGCAAGGAGATAAAAAAGGTGATGGCCCATCAGTAAGGTGTTATTTTGTTAAGAGAGAGGAGGAGCGGGGAGAGAGGGAGAAGAGGGTGAGGAGGAGGAGAGTGGGGAGAAAGGGTGGGGAGAAAGGGTGGGGAGAAAGGGAGCTAGGAGGAGAGGGGAGAAAGGAGAGAGGGGGAAGAAAGAGAAAAGGGGGAAAAGGAGGGAAGAAGGCAGCGAAAGGAAGAAAGTGGGGAGAGAAAGAGGAGGGCACTTTGGGAGGCCAAGGTGGGCAGATCACCTGAGGTCAGGAGTTCGAGACCAGCCTGGCCAACATGGTGAAGCCCGTCTCTACTAAAAATACAACAATTAGATGAGTGTGGTGGTGTGCACCGGTAATCCCAGCTGCTCAGGGGGCTGAGGCAGGAGAATCGCTAGAACCCAGGAGGTGGAGGTTGCAGTGAGCCGACATCACACCACTACATGAGACTCCATCTCAAAAAACAAAAAACAACAACCACAACAACAACAACAACAACAAAAAAAAAAAAAAAAAAGAGGAGGGGAAGAGAAAGAGGAGGGGCGAGATGGGGAGGGAGAGAGGGAATAAATCTCCAAAACAAAGCAACATGTTTAAGATCACTAAACCTGGTTAGAGATTATGCTGTTGTCTGCTCCGTTTTTTTTTTTTTTTTTTGTACCTTTCAGTAGGTTTGAAATATTTCATAACTAAAAAAAGATTTTAAAATGTATTATTAACCAGCAACAAAATAATTATCAATCATTTCAAACAATCTCTTATTAGATGCTTAATGAAATTCTTGGAAATGGGCTGTTCACAAACTCTCAAAGCATAAATATGGAACACAATTATCTGAAGTTCAATTTCCAAGACATTCACATATTTCACTCATGACTCTAAGATGGTCATAACATTAAAACAAAAATTCCATGAAAAGCTAAAAGCAATTTTGCCTTTTTGATACGTTTTAAATATTAATTACTGGCCTTACAGGCAATCCAAAGCTTAACAGGAAACCATGCTGAATTCCAAGTTTCCACTCGTGGTGCTACATTAGTTTAGAGGAAAGTGTGTCCACTTTGGCACTAATGACATTTTGGGCTGGATAATTCTTTATTGGAGACGGCTGTCCTTTGCATTATGGGATGTTCAACAGCATCCCTGGTCTCTATCCACCAGATGCCAGTAGCGCCACCTTCTCCCCAAGTCATGACCACCAAAAATGTCTCTGGACATTGCCAGAGGTACCTTAGGGGGACAAAGTTGCTTCCAATTGAGAATGACTACTACAGAGGATACGGCCAACGATCTATCAGTGAGCTGATCTATCACTTACTGATTTCACATAAGATTGATGTTTATCCCAACATTTAAAATTACTCTACGGCTTTCTTTAGTTCAGAGTATTCAATAGTTAAATAGGACTAATCCCTAGTTTTTTTCCTAATCTTAAAAAAAAAATGGATTTAGCATATCTTACCGGAAATCTGAGTCCATTAGTGACTTCATTTGTTGCCTCAAAAATTATATCTAACCAGAAGTTCAGCCGCTCTTGCCTGGGTGAGTGTTCAATAATGGGTTTCTTGAAGCGCCGAATTAGTAACAAGTTCTGAACTAGTGATCGCAGGTACCTGGAAAAATCACAAACAGCAATATATTGGATTCCTAAAGAAATTGAATTCAAGTCCCTTTAAAAGAAGCTTTCCAAAAGCTTTTATTTACTTAAGTTCATATTATATCATGAGTGCTTCATAAATGACTGCTCAGCAGCCACAAAACTAATTAAGAAAACCCAAGCAGTAGGCAAAGTAAGTCCATCCAACAAAATAACACAACGTGACTTTTTACCAACATTGGGCTAAACCTCAATTTTAGTACCTATTGTCTAAAATGGGAGATTGGAAAGCATGTGATAACTGTTTTAAATAACAAAGGCAGGCACAGCTGACTCTTGAACAACACAAGTATGAACTGTGGAGGTCCACTTACACACAGATTTTTTTTCCCAATAAATACATTGGAAAATGTTCTGGAGATGTGCGACAATTTGGAAAACTTTGCAGATGAAGTGTGCAGCCTAGAAATATCAAAAAAAATAGAAAAAGCTAGGTATGCCATGAATGCATAAAATATACGTAGACACTAGTCTATTTTATCATTTACTACCCAAAATATATACAAATCTCTTATAAAAAGTTAAAATGTACCAAAACTTACACACACAAACACTTACAGACTGTATATGGCACCATTCCCAGTCAAGAAAAATATAAACAAACGTAAAGATGCGGTATTAAATCAAGACTGCATAAAATTAACTGTAGTGCATACTGCACCACTGTAAGGATTTTGTAGCCACCTCCTGTTGCTATTGTGGTGAGCTCATGTTATAAGTATCTGCTTAAAACTCCACCATGTGGCCAGGCGCGGTGGCTCACACCTGTAATCCCAGCACTCTGGGAGGCCTAGGCGAGCAGATCACCTGAGGTCAGGAGTTCAAGACCAGCCAGGCCAACATGGCGAAATCCCGTCTCTACTAAAAATACAAAAATTAGCTGGATGCGGTGGCAGGCGTCTATAGTCCCAGCTACTCGGGAGGCTAAGGCAGGAGGATTGCTTGAAGCTGAAAGACAGAGGTTACAGTGAGCCGAGATCACGCCACTGCACTCCAGCATGGGCGAGAGAGCGAGACTCTGTCTCAGACACAAACAACAACAACAAAAAACTCCACCATGTGAGACTGATCATTTTTGCATGAGCAGTTCATCTCTCCAGTAAATTGCAGATCATAGTAAAAAGTGATCACTCACGGTTCTCGTGCATTCTTCATTGTATTTAGTGCAATACCATAAACCTTGAGTAACACCATGGGACCCATACAGAGTGCCACTAGTGATACTGGAAACGCTCCCAAGAAGCAGAGAAAAGTCATGACATTACCAGAAAAAGTTGAATTGCTTGATATGTACTGCAGATTGAGTTCTGCAGTTACAGCTGCTGCCATTTCAAGACAAATGAATCCAGCCTAAAAATCGTTGCAAAAATAGAAAAGGAAATTCATGAAGCCGTCACTGCAGCTATGTCAGCGGTTGCAAAAATCCTGCACTTTTTGCAAAATATAAAATACAAAATATTGTTTATGTTATTGGTAAGGCTTTCAGTCAACAGCAGGCTATTAGTAGTTAAGTTTTTGGTCAATTTTCAACTGAGCCCCTAACCCCCACATTGTTCAATGGTCAGCTGTAGTTCAAAGTTCAAAGCAATTACAAAATGACAAAATTTCAAACTCATTTTCTTTTTAATTAAACATGTTACTTTGAGGTAATTTTACATTTACATGAAGTGCTAAGAAACAATACAGAGAGAACCCATATATCTTTGACCAGGTTTACTCCAATGGTAAGCATCCTACAAAAACTACAGTACAATACCACAACTAGGATGTTGTCACTGATACAAGGCAAGACAGAGAAATTTCCATCCCCACAGGGACCCTTCGTGTTGCCTTCCCACCATCATGCCTACTTCCCTCCCATCCCACCCACTCCCTTACTCCTGGCAATCACTAGTCAAACTCACTGTCTTTCATTTTTTTAAAAATTAGAATCTGACTAGGTAGATTTTGATGTTATGACATCTTGACTCTGATCACACCTTTGCTCTTTTCAGGCATATTGAACTTTTTGGAATATAGGTGCCAGGCAGTATTATTATATATCATAGTATTATTTATATCATAGTATTTATATCACATTATTTATATCATAGTATTATTATATATCACAGTATTATTTATATTATAGTATTATATATCATAGTATTATTTTGCTCTTTGAGGATAAAAGCTGGAGCTATCCTGGGAAGATAGGCCAGCTAGACTCCAACTGACTTGCTTGGGTACTCAGCGGGCCTGTGCTGTCCAAACTCTACACATTCAAAAGAAAGATCTGGTCCTGGACTGGCTATTGGGAGATCACCTCTAAGTCCTTGGGATATACTGCCAGCTAAAAGCATCTCTGTTTATCCGGGACCTTGGGCCATCCTAGATAGTTTATGCTAACGATATGATTCACAGTCCGTGTCCTGGGCCACATTGTATCAGTTTGACCTCTGGATAAATGCATATGGATTATTTTTATAACTTTAAAAAACATACTTTTAGGCCGGGCACGGTGGCTCAAGCCTGTAATCCCAGCACTTTGGGAGGCTGAGACGGGCGGATCACGAGGTCAGGAGATCGAGACCATCCTGGCTAACACGGTGAAACCCCGTCTCTACTAAAAAAATACAAAAAACTAGCCGGGCGAGGTACAAAAAACTAGGTTGGAGCTGAGGTATTAATATCAGCCACATGAGGACTCCATGCCCACGTGACCCATCCCCAATAAAAACCCTGGACATTAAGGCTCAATGAGCTTTACTGGTTGGCAAGACTTCATGCATGTTGTCACACATCTTTGCTGGGAGAATCAAGCACTGTCCACATGACTCCACCGGAAAAGGACAACTGGAAGCTTGCACCTGGTCTCTCCTGGACTCTACCCTATGTACCTTTCTGCCTTTGCTGATTTTAATCTGCATCCTTTCATTGTAATAAACCATAACTAAGAGTATAACAGCTTTTCTGAGTTCTGTGAGTCCTTCCAGCAAATCATGAACCTAAGAAGGGTCTTGGGGACTCCTAACAACAGGTAATAACAGTGTAAGTCCTATAAGTGAGCCCAGGTGCTGACGTAATGGGATTGTATCCAATCCTGGGGTCTCCACTCCCTGAAGTCGGCTCCATCTTGCCCAGATAACAGCAATGCACTTTAAGATTAGTACTTTTCAAATAGCAGCCACTCCAGGAGGGCTAGAGGCCCAGCCTGGCTTTGTGTCCTTTCAGCCTCAGAGAATTTTCAAGGGGTTTGAGGGCCAAATTTAAGTTCCTTCAGATTGGGAAGAAATAGGGTCAAACTAATTATGACTGAAGAGATTCCCATCCCCCGTAATCCGGACTGACCCGCTGAACTAGGATGTAAGGGATGGTCAATGAACACAAATGGTTAAAAGTATGTGGGGTTTTTTTGTGTTTTTTTTTGTTTGTTTTTTTTTTTTGAGACGGAGTCTCGCTCTGTCGCCCAGGCTGGAGTGCAGTGGCCGGATCTCAGCTCACTGCAAGCTCCGCCTCCTGGGTTCACGCCATTCTCCTGCCTCAGCCTCCCGAGTAGCTGGGACTACAGGTGCCCGCCACCTCGCCCGGCTAGTTTTTTGTATTTTTTTAGTAGAGACGGGGTTTCACCGTGTTAGCCAGGATGGTCTCGATCTCCTGACCTCGTGATCCGCCCGTCTCAGCCTCCCAAAGTGCTGGGATTACAGGCTTGAGCCACCGTGCCCGGCCTAAAAGTATGTTTTTTAAAGTTATAAAAATAATCCATATGCATTTAAGAAAAATCAGAAGACCAAGGTAAGAAAAACCAGAAAACAAAGGTAAGAAAAAAAAAAAAAAAACAGAATAAAAATCCTTATAAGGCTATCTCCCTGACACAACCACTGTCAATATTCTGAAGAAAATCATTCACCATTTATTGATTATACAATATCTATTGAGCATTTATTATGAGACTATAGCAATCAATAAGATAACCACGATTCTAACGGAGCTTCATGTCTACGGGGAAATCTGATACCGCCCACCCCACCTGGGCCTTTCCCTACAAGTCACATGCCAAACACATATTTTTAATTAAAACAAGATCATATAGAACAACGGTTCTCAAGGTGTGGTCACCAGAGCAGCAGCAGCAGCTTAGAATTTGTAAGTGCAAATTCTCAGGCTCTACCCCAGACCTACCGAGCCAGAAATCCTGAGAGTGGGCCCAGCAATCTGTGTTTTATTTCTTTATTTTACCTATTTACTTTTGAGAGAGGGTCTCACTCTGTCACCCAGGCTGGACTGCAGTCATGCAATCACAGCTCGCTGCAGCCTTGACCTTACCGCAGCCTTCCCGAGTAGCTGGGACCACAGGCGTGTGTCACCATGCCTGGCTATTTTTTTTTTTTGGTAGAGACTGGATCTCACTCTATTAGCCAGACTGGTCTCAAGCTACTGGGCTCAAGCAATCCTCCCACCTCGGCCTCCCAGAGTGCCGGGATTACAGGTATAAGCCACTATGTCCAGTCTGTGTGTTAATCAACATAGGTTGATTCTGACAAACAATAAAATTTGAGAACCACTGATACAGGAAAATCTACCCAGGAGCTGGCTTTTCTTATTCTACAACAAACCACGAACACACTTCCACGTCTCCAAACATTATTTCCCGCACATTTAAATGGCTGTGTAAGGCTGTTGCTGTGCCACCGTTTTATTTACCACACCCTATTATTGTTCTTTTAGTTCCAGTTTTCATTTGTGATAAACATTTTCTTGGTGTGCTTTTTTCACTTTATTATATGCTTTCTCACAAATGCATAATACATACTAGTAGCCAAGAGTATTTTGCTCTTAAGGACCTAGACAACCTGCAGAAATTATAATAGGATAGAAGGCCTAATCTCAGGGATGGAGCAGGCAGGGATATATTCTGTGTGGATCTGTCTTTCCCTCCCTTCACATAAAAGCAAGGGAATTCTCAGAGCAGTTGTGTCTGTGCTAACTTTGCTTTAATGAAAAGTCAGAAGGAGAAACATAGTGATTACTACTGTTTTTGCACTTCCACGTTTTCTTCCCTGAGGAAGACATTTCAGAACAAGGTCATGTGTTGAGATGGCTGATGACAACACACAGACACAACTCACCAGACTGGAGGTTTCAGTTTGAACAACCTCTCTGCTGCCTGGACGGCTTTCCCGACATCACTGGCCAGCATGCTGACGCTGAAGAACTGACCCACATCCCAGTAATTGTTCATTTTCTCCAAACTCCCTTTTCTTCCCAACAAACTGTTCAGCCGGACACCTTAAGAATTTGAATTTTAGACAGTCAGAAAACTCTTTCTTAGTTTCTGTCATATTGAGGATAAGCAGGTATTTTATTTTGGCTGCTGTCTCAAGTGCGCTGTAGGAAAAGTAACTGATTGTTACTTTTGAAATATAATGCTAGTAGGATGGGCACGGTGGCTCACGCCTGTAATCCCAGCACTTTGGGATGCTGAGGCAGGCGGATCACTTGAGGTCCAGAGTTCGAGACCAGCCTGGCCAACATGGTGAAATCCCATCTCTACTAAAAATACAAAAAAAAAAAAAAAATTAGCTGGGTATGGTGGTGGGCACCTGCAATCCCAGTTACTCGGGAGGCTGAGGCAGGAGAATTGCTTGAACCCAGGAGGTGGAGGTTGCAGTGAGCCAAGACCGCACCACTACACTCCAGCCTGGGCAACTGAGCAAGACTCTGTCTCAAAAAAAGAACAGAAATATAATGACATAATGCTAGTTATTTCAACATAATTTCTAATGCCAAACTTGTATAATCAAAGCATCAACATCTGCAGTAATAAACAGCTTTACCTATTTTCCTTAGTTCCAAGGAAGTTTCAAATTGTTGTCCAGCAACTATCAGCAAAACTGCAAGATTAATTCCCGAATAGAGAGATGACTGGAGTTCAAACCCTTTGCGATACCTATAATTACAGAACCACCAAAGTCTGATTATATTACAACAAAAAATGTTTAAATAATGGTATAAACCAACTTTCTCATGAAAAGTTTTCTTTCTTTAAGTTTGTTGTTGCCTATTCCCCTTGCCTCCCACCACCACCTTCACAAACAGCCACATGCAGCTCTCTAGTAACTTCAAAAATGTCATAATAGGCCAGGCGCCGTGGCTCATGCCTGTAATCCCAGCACTCTGGGAGGCCGAGGCAGGTGGATCGCTTGAGGCCAGGAGTTTAAGGCCAGCCTGGCCAACATGGTGAAACCCCATCTCTACAAAAAAAATACAAAAATCAGCTGTGGTGGTGCATGCCTGTAATCCCAGCTACTCGGGAGGCTGAGGCAGGAGAATTCGCTTGAACCTGGGAGGTGGAAGCTGCAGCAAGCCAAGTTCGCACCACTGCACTCCAGCCTGGGTGACAGAGCAAGACTTGGCCTCAAAACAAAAAAAAAAAGTCACAATAGCAACACAGTAACTTACACCAGGGAGGGGTTTTTTTTGTTAATAAGATTATTATAAAAGCCTCACTGATTGTATAAAATAGGGAAATCATCACGAAGTACACAAAAGAAATTTAAACTCAATTCTAATCCTACTCCCAGAAGATCACCACGATTTGATGTCCGGAGTGCAGAGGTGTAATCATAGTTCACTGCAGCCTGGAACTCCTGGACCCAAGCAATCCCTCCACCTCAGCCTCCCAAGCAGCTAGGACCACAGGTTTGTGCCATCATGCCCAGTTAATTTTTTTTTCATTTTTTTTAAACACAGGGTCTCACTCTGTCACCCAGGCTGGAGTGCAGTGGCACGATTATAGCTGCAGCCTTGAACTCCTGGGCTCAAGCGATCCTCCCACCTCAGCATCCCAAGTAGCTGGGATTACAGGCATGAGCCACGCTGCCCACCTAAACCTTGTTTCTAAAGTTGGATTCTAATTATGCATTGAGTATTTTTTTATTACATCGAAATGGCATCAATGGTAGGCCATTTCTCTGCAAGCTGTTTGCTTTTAACAACATGGAGTTGTTTTCTCCTGCAGGAAGCAGTATTGCCAAAATCCTGGATCCCAAATAACTACAGGAGCAGTGACAGCGATCTACTCTATCAGGATAAGGAACAGGATACAAAATTGGGAATCGTATTTTTATACCAAAAGGTTAACAGTGACAAGTTCACTCTCTTCTTTACCCTTTTCTATACATAATAAGTTCATTTCTGTTCTATGAACAAGTATGAAAATTATAGGCAGGAAAAAAGAACTCAATTAATGAAGTAACAACACAAGTGTCTTTAAGTGGCACAGTTTATACCAAAGACTTGCTAGTAGTAATTTTGTCACTCATGTGACAGCAAGAGATTTCAACAACAAAATATTAATTCTTCAAAGGAGAAGTTATCATTGAAATCAGTTAAAATATGGCTTTATCAATTCTGAGGCATAATACAAATAGCCTCAGACAGATCAGAGGACACCGAGGAAGTCCTTCCTACCTTAGTCAACAAAATTCAACCTTTTTTTTTCCTGTGTGTTTTGAGAATTTTAAATTCTACCTCCTTCTAGATGTGACTGTTTTATTTTCTTCTACTATGAAAAGTTATACTGAGAAGAGGGCCGAGAGGGTTGCTTCTCCAGAAGTCAAGCAGGCCCAACTTTGAGGCAGAGAAGATCTGAACTCCAGGCAGGATTGTAGTCCCAGATTCACCACTAACCAGCACTGTGATCTTGGACCAGCTCCCCACCTCCCTGAGCCATATGCTCCATGTCCGCACTGGAGAGGGTGGGTTAGATGATATCCAGGATAGATCTTATCCACAGCCACCACGCCCTGAGCAGAAGACGAAGCTACATTTGCTTCTGCACCTACCGCCACTACCTTCTGAAGCCACTGGAGAAAAACTCCTAGGACTTTCTTGAAGGAGCCAAAGGCAGTGATTTTCTGACCTGGGGACTGAATTCCCAGCCACCATAGTGGGAACACAGCTTTCTGTTTTGGCTTTACCAAACATTAACTTCCCTTCGATACCCTGAGTGACTCCTCTCCACCACACGGTGCATTAGGAACTACAGGACATTTAAAAAAAGAAGACGAGGTCATTATGTTCCAAGAACTTACACTACGGTGGAAGGGAATAAGATCTACACATAATTAGTAACAACAGAAGCAAGAATGTGGTATCTTAAAAATCACACAAATTCAAGTGTAGAGGAACTCACAAAAGACATATAGGGCCATCTCACCTAGATACTTGAGACATGGCATAAAAATAAAGAGAAATAATCCCAGCAGTTTGAGAAGCCAAGGCAGGTGGATTGCCTGAGGTCAGGAGTTCGAGACCAGTCTGGCCAACATGGTGAAACCTGTCTCTATTAAAAATACAAAAAAATTTGCCAGCCGTGGTGGCATGTGCCTATAATCCCAGCTACTCAGGAGGCTGAGGCAAGGGAATTGCTTGAACCAGGGAGGTGGAGGTTGCAGTGAGCTGAGATCACACCATGGCACTCCAGCTTGGGTGACAGAGCGAGACTCAGTCTCAAA